AGATAGATGATAGATAGATAGACAGATAGACTTATATTCTTGGTATGTTTCCCAGCTTTCCCTTCCCCATTGTTCTTAGAGCCAAATGCCAAGGAAACAAATAACCAGGTATTTCTCAGTGTCATGTACAAAGTCTGAACATAGTGGTTGCTCAATAAATATCTGGCAGATTGATTGACTCTTTAGTTGACTTACCCCAAGATCTGTGCCAACTGTAAACCCTCATGAGTGGAGGTTTTCCCCATCTCTCCCTCGTGGCCTCCAGTTCTCCTCATAATCCCCTGCTCCTGACAGCCCCAAGGAGGGACCAGGGAATGCCCAGTCAGTCTCTTTGCAGCAATGCAGGGTCTGGGGTGGGGATGGGCACTCCCAGGTTTCCCAGGCCCCGACCCTGGCATGGGGCAGAGGCTGTGAGGAGGGACCCGGACATCCGGTCTGGATGGACAAAGATGATCTTTCCAACCCCATAAATGTTGGAGCCACGGAGGCGGCTGCACCACCATCCCCAAGCGCTGTGGTCTGGAGCCCGGAGCCAGCGAGATCAATATCGTTCGGTTTTCCGCTACAGCTCCTTTCTGCTGCCAAGTCTCTCCAGAGGCCGAGGAGATGGTGCCGAGGAGGCGAGAGGCACAGGACAGGCAAGGCCGGGCCTGTCCCACAGGAGGCCCCACCAGTAGGGCCATGCTCATGCCAGAGCTCTCGGTCCTCTCACAGCCTGGGAGGACGTGCTGTCCCATTTCACAGATGGGACAACTAGAGCCCAGAGGGGAAACCGCTTCCCCAAGGCGCCAGCCAAGCCCAGACCAAACCCGGCCATGACCGGTCCTGAGGCCACACTCTCAGCCTAGCGGAGTCTGGATCTTTGGGGTGGGCTTGGCGGGAGGCTGTTCTAGGCTGTCCTGCAGCTCAGCCCAGGGTGAGGGAGAAGGGGCCTTTGCAGCCCCATGCTCCTGGCTCTAACACCTGCAGGGACATGACAGAGTGCTGACCCCCACCCCCAAAGCAGCTCTTCCTGTTGCCCACAGCTCCCTCCACCTCAGACCGCACTGCAGCCCCCAATGGCAACAGCGTGGAGCTAGGGGATGATGCTGCTCCAGTCCCCACGACACACGGACAGGAGCCAGCCAGCGCCCCAGCCTCTTTCCCACAGCCGGGCTCTCCTGGATCCTCCGGGCTCAGCTGCTGGCCCTTCCTTCCCGCCGCTGTTGTTCACATCTTGTGTCCAGGAGCACCAGGGCCACCCTGGGGTTGCTGGGCGAGACTCGGGCACTCCTCGCCTTCATTCATGGCCCTTTGCTGATGAGCCCCGCAGCCCTGCCCCGTGGGTGAGCTGACCCTGCAGGACTGAGTCAGAGGAACACAAGCATTTGAGTGGGAAGAAGGGGGGAGCAGAGACACCTACATGGACACACAGCCAGCGGAGGTGGGGGCTCACACGTGTGTGTGGGGGACGCTATCTGGTCTCCAGCGCAGTGAGGACAGCCCCTTCCACTCCCCATTCTGGATTCCTTAGAAACTGCTAAGCACTCATTAGTCATGTTCAGCAACTAATGAGGAAAATCCAGTTCTTCGAAAGAGAAAGGCAGGGTTTTATTTCACTCCCCACAAGGAGAAATTCCGGGGCCCCCGGGTTGACTCTTTCAGGCCCCACTGTCCTCCCTGCTAGGTCCTGTGGCTCCCAGAGGGACGGTGTCCACAAAGCCCTGCTCCAGGGCCCAGGGTGCAGGAGGAGGAACCAACCGTGAGGCCCTTTCCAGCTGGGGCTTTGTTAAACCACTGGTGGACTCTGCTCCTGAGGCGAGAGACAGCCAGTGACCGCCCCCCCCCCATCCTCAGAGGACTTGGGGGGAGGGCCGGCCGCACACACTTCCTCCTGCTCATAGGTTCCTCTCGGCCTCCCTACCCCACCACACCCAGGCCTGTGCACCCCTGCATAGGCCCACCTGGGGCAGGGCCCAGCAGGGGAGAGAATCCTGGCCAAGACCCCACCCCTTCTCCTGCCCCTCCTGCCTTCACCACCCCTTTTCTTGCTTCTTCTGAGGCTGGACTGTGTTTACAACCCACAGGCCCGATAGAACCAGCGTTCCAGGCTGCAATGTGGGCGCCCAAGCCCAGGGACGCCCAACGCCAGGGCTGCATTTAAGTCTTCGAGCTAAGCAGCCCTGGGCTCTGCTCGCAGCTGGGTACGTCCCAGCAAGCATGAAGGTTGCTGGGTTTGGGGGGCTGCGGAGTGTATGACATGTGGTTCTGGCCTGCCAGCTGGAGAGGGGTCAGAGGCGCTGCTCTCTAGGAAGCTTTCAGTGACCTGCCTGCTAACAGAGTGTGGAACGCACTGTGCACTTAGGAAAAGACCCTTGGGACTCAGGTGGAATCAGCTGTGTCTTGACTTCTCAGCCCCCCCAATCCAAAGCTTCTCAGTGCAGCCCCAGCCCAGTCCCTCCTCCTCAGGAACAAGCAGCACAGGGGGACCCCTGCCTGGCTACTTAGTCCCCTCAAAGCCCCTCAGCTCCCAGGCTCTGGCCTGTCTCATCCAGGCTCAGCCTGAGGTAGTCGCATCACGCCACAGCCAGATGGCATCTGAAGGTGCCCTCCCCATCTCACACCAGGAGCCCTGGTCCACTCCCCAGGGAAGCTGGCCTGCCGACCCAGGCCCCTGGCCCCCTCCCGACCAGTGCCCTAGTTTGGTCTCCTGCTGCCCTGTTATTCATCAGTGTCTCTCTTCCTTCTAGAACAACCCTAGTTGCAGAGAGAGACGTGAGCTAGGAAGGGTATGGACTGGAGTCAGCTCACCCGGGTCTGCCCTGCCACTTTACAGCTGCACCACCCCTTAGCCTCTCTGAACCTCGGTTTCCTTATCTGTAAAATGGGGGTGGGGACCTCCTTCACTCACTGGGCCGTGTGTGAGAGGAACAGCACACCTGCGTCAGTAGCCTCGGACACCTACAAGGTTTGCTGAGTGCCAGGAGTCACCAGCAGTCACCAGCAGCAGGCCTTGGGGGCAAAATACATGGTCTGTCACGGCCTCAGTTTCCTTAGTCATTTGGCCACTTGTCATTTGGCTAGTGTGACACCGACCTTGTGCATCGCTGGGAAGACCAGACACGACAACACCCAACACGCAGTAGGTGTGTCGTGCCTACGAAACAGCAGTTCTCACAGTATAACTGGGGACCCCAGGGGCTCCTGACCCTTTCAGGAACGATTTTCCTATTTTCAGGAACCCCTTCCAAAACTGTTTTCATAAAACTAAGCTGTGACTTGTCTTCCTCATTCATTTCCTCACGAGTACACAGTAGGCTTTTCCAGAGGTACACACGTGTGGTTTCCTAGAAGCAGAGAGAACTGAGGTTTTAAAAACTGCCAATGTCACTCTTCGCCAATCTTGTCTTAGACTAGCTCATCATTTCTCACTGACTCCTACTGATGTTAACATGCAGCAGTGTTTGGTAATGCTATGTCGGTGAGTATTTTTCAAATGATGTTTTATATTGTGGCTCCAGGAGCTACCAAGCCCTGCAAAAGAACCTGAGCACCCCCAACCCCGAGCCCCCCTGCAAGCACAATGGGGATCTCAAATTGGGTCCCATCATCCAGAGAACCCTGCGCAGAGTAGGCACCCCTTGGTGGATACGGGCCCAGACTTGCTGAGCCCCTAGGAACCGACCCAGAGCCACAGGCCTGAGTTGCAGACTCCAGAGACCTCGCCGACAGCCTCAACTGCTCCTGCCTTGTAAACCTCACCCCTTCAGGGACCAGCCTGAGCACTCCACCTCCCGACCCTCATCCAGAATGAACCAACTAACCCAAGCAGGGTGTCTTATAGCCAGTGTACATTTGCCCCAGATTGTCATTGGAAACATCAAAAGATAAGACGTGCTTGCCTAACAGGCTGCCATGCTGCTGGGGTTGCCATATTCTGGGGCATCTGTTGGTGCCACTGTAGAGCAGAGCACCTGAGGACGCCAACTCAGAACGGAGTGATGGAGACAAATCCCTGGTTCTCCAGTGTGAGCCTGGCTCCAGCTGTGGCTTCTTGGGCTTGTGAGTCATTTCCCCTCCTTTAAGCCAGTTTCAGTTGCTCTTCCGGCGAAAAGTCCAGATGAGATACTCATGGTCACCAGGGCCGAGAGCCGGATGGCAAGGAAGCTGCTGGGAGGACTCAGGGCATCATCTCCAGAGGTGTCCATGAAGCCCCTCACAAACCAGCAGCCGGGGAGATGCCCCCTTCTGCCCACCAGAGAGCTGGCAGGACCCGTAGCAAGCAACACAGCTAGAGAAGGCATGGATTTTTCTTTCACTTTATCATTTATAAAGCCATACAATGGATCACAAAGAAACGATGCAGCTGGACAGGAGTAGGGCGCATCAGTGCACAATACATTCATCTCCTGGGTAAGTAGCGAGTTCAAGGTTTATACAGGTGGCAGCGGTTATAGGCATCGATACAAAATAGGAAGTACATTTCCATCTATATAAATACACAGCCAGGGGCGGGAGGGCGCTGGGCTATTCTGTTTTTCTAACGGTTTTTGAATGACATAGTAGAGGGAAGGAACAGGGAGCCACAGCACACCCAAGAAAGCGCTCACTCACTCTCACACACGCAAACCAACACGCCCACACAGGAGAGTCTCAAACGGTTTTAACACTGATTAGAAACAAGCTTGGGACGTCCCTCTACAGCTAGCTTGCTACAGGGAGGAGCCCAGGTGCGGCAAGGAAGGGGCACCTGGACCCCCACCCCATGGGGCTGCTGACCCGTCCCCGCCACCCCCAACACTGACTCTCCACAGTGGGGACCTCACCACCTCCTGACGCCTTTGCTGCTGGGTGACACTGAACTTGATGTCCCGTTGCCCCACCCACCCCAACCTGAGTCCTCAGAGACAGGCAAAATGCACTCATAGACCCACACTTGCACATGCGCTCACATCCTGTTACCACTGGCCAGGGGACTCCAGGCAGGACCCCGGGGCCTGGGCCTAGGTGAACAGCGAGTGGCTGGGACACTCAGCCCCCCACCTCTCCAAGGACCGGAGTGTGGGGACATGCAAGGGCAGAGGAAGTCCTCAGGAGTGCAGGACCTGCCCAGGTCGGGAAGCTGGAAGAAAACAAACAAAGGGAGAAGACCAGGAAGGCAGGGGTGGAGGGTGGACAGTGAGAGCCCAGAATCTGTCCCACCTGACACCCCGTGCCCCTGCCAGCAGCCAGCCGAGTGGGCAGAATGCCCTCACGTCCTGGGAGCCCCTTGCCGGAAGGACGTGTCCCTCCTACAGCCACATGGCCCCCAGGCCCTACTACTAAGGTATCCTGCCTGCCTCTACCACAGCCAGGCACTTTTCAAAGTCCAGGGCAGGAGAAACCCTGGCAGGCCACACAATTTCAGAGCTGCTGGAGAGACAGCTGGAAGGGCATCAGAAAGCCTTTCGCCAACCTAGGACAAGCTGTCGCCATCCCTCAAACACCTGCGTACATGAGGGAGCCAGGCCACGGGGACCACAGGGCAGGGGCGCTCCAGTCACCCCTGGAGGTTGATCAAACAGCTAACTTCCTCCCTGCCTCGCCCTGAAGTGGCCTCTCCATTGTTCCTGCGCCCAGTCTTTTCCTCTTGTTCCACCTGGGAAGAGCCACGTGGCTCTCACTGAGTGAATCAGAGACGGTCACTTTCCTGCTCTCCTCCCTCCAGACAGCTAAGGGGTCAGAGGCCTACCGGGACAGTAGAGGGAGGTGGTGCCTGAGGCTGGGGCCTGAGCCTAGGGGCTGCCACAGGCTGAACATGCCTCTTCCACCCTTTTGTGCCAACAACTCTCAGCCCCCTCCCCCTCCCCCACCCAGTCTATCTTCAAGACCAGACAGCATTCTCCTGGCTAACAAACAGCTCCAACAATAAACATCAGCAAAAAAGGTTGATGGAGGGGAAGGAGAAAGGATAAACATTTACACAACAACAAAATTATTGAAAGTGCTTTCTTTTAAAGGAATCTTTGGCAAGAATATACTGTAGTGCTCTGCGTGTGTGTGTGTGTGTGTGTGTGTGTGTGCACGTGCAGAGCTGTGGAGCACACGTACACAGGCTCACCTGTGAGACACGGAGGCAAGAATGGTCCCCACAAGTGTCAGGCCCAAAGTGGGGCCGCTGTGGGGGTTGGGACACCCAGCCCGTCCTCCTCATCCTTCCAGAAAGGCCGAGCTCTAGGAAATAGACTCCTTCCAGAAGGCGGCCAGGGAGGGAGTGGACAGCTTTCCCTGCCCTGGGCCCCCACAGGGACCAGGCCAGGGCGGAACCACCAGCCACACCTGGTGAAAGCAACCTCAGACATGGGCAGGGCCACCATGGAGTCCGCCTCCAGGGAGACAGGACTTCCGGCCAGGAGCAGAGGAGTCCCGGACGGCTGTCCAGAGGGAGAGTCTGATATTTACAAAGGAAAGTTTGGGGATGTCTCCTTAATCCAGGAGAGAGCTGGGGTTAAGTAAGGCATGAGGAGAGGGGGCATCAGGCTTGAACGTCTCAGAAGGAAGAGTATTTTGGTGGGACCAAGAACAAGAACAACCTTGGGGGGCAGGGAGCTGCCCCTGACCTCCCGCAGAAACTCTCCTTTCCAGCTCCCTGAAACACAACGTCCACGCAGATGCAGCTTCTTGGAGGAGAAAAATTACACAAGAACACACGTCACTCATGTCTGCCACGCACGCACCCAGGCCCCCACAGGCACCCCCTTGTGGGGCTTGAGGTGAGGGGCAGCTCCCTCCCACCTCAGAGATGCCAGCTCCGGGCTTGCCAGAAAGTCAGGGGGCAAGAGAATGGAACACAAGCACCCCTCCCCACTGAGCCCCACAGAGAGCAAGGAGCCCTGGCTGCTGCAAGCATCAAGGCCCTCTACATTTCAGGCTGCGCTGAGACGGAAGAAAAGGGACAAGAATTGGTTTATGCCTGGGAGGCAACAACGCAAATATGGGAAAACAATAAATACTTCTGGTCAATTTACCTATTCTTTTTTTGTAACCTTTTCTTATATTTTATTAGCTTACAGATTCTGTCAGTATGTCTCACATATATATTATATATATTTATATATCAGTACAACGCCTCTCTAAGGGGGGGGTCGGGGACGGGCGGGGGGACATAGGCTTCAAGAGGCCACTCAAGAACAGAGTCCCGGTGAATTTTCCATTCCAGCTTAGAGTTCTTGGGTGATGATCGCGGGTCTTCCCAATTGCCCAAGCGGAATCTCAGCCCTTTGGCCTAAAAATGCATGCTTTCTGTCCTCTGCTTCTGGGTGGCTTGCTCTGCCGGAGAAACCAAGGCAGAGGAAAAACAGCCAGGTTTTGGCATTGTGGGTAGGCTGTGTCATGTATATGCAGCAGCCCCCAAAGGTCTGCTAATATGGCTTTGGGCAACCTAGGGAAAAAGTCAGACCCCAAAATGCATGCAGAGGGGAGCACAAGGCTGCAGGCTGCTCCCCTGAACCTCACTAGGCAGGGCTTCTGGAAGTTGGTTCCCCAGGATGTGCTCCAATATGGGGACCCTGCAGGACAAAACAGGGCAGGGAAGAGCAGCCTCCAGCCCCATCCCAACACCCCAAAAGGCAGCATGCAGACATCTGACCTAAGGCTGGTCTAATGGGCTGCGGCTGGCAGCTGGCGGGAGCCACTGGCCACCAGCTGTCGGGGCAGATGCCCCAGCGCACTGGCCACTCTTCCTGAAGGATCTCTTCCCCGAAGCTATGAGCACATGTCTCTGAGTTCTCAAACCAATACTCGAGCACCCCGGTGGTAGAGGACAGGTGGAAGAGCGGCCCCACTCCTGCTGAGGCCTTGGTCAGGAAGGGGCTGATGACACTTAGACGTGCGCGTGTGCAGGCACTGAGACCAAGAGAGAGAGAGCTGGTCACCCATAATCATGGGTGTCCCTGGGGAAGAGCACTTATGTCCACTCCTGTTGCCCAATCACCCCCTATGCTAATCTTTGGAGAGTTTGCACATGTCTGTGCAAACAAGTGGGACGTGGACAAGCAGACCTGTTTCTCATTCTAGCTGAGAGGCAAACAGAAATCAGCGTGAGGTGTGGGTGCAGACATATGTAGACCCCATATCGACTCCCCCACAAACTACCCATCAGAGGCAAGGCTAAAGGACCTTAGGCACCTCGGTTGAGATACTTTCAGAAGCAGGAGTCCCCCCACATCATGTCTGTGCAGTCTCTTCGGGTTTGGCTATCTACCCTAGAGTTGGCCAGAAAAAGATGCTCTCAACTTGATTTCCTTTTGCAGAATAGTTGGGTTCGAGAGACAGAGTTTTTCTACACCCCCCGCCACCCCTAAATATGGGTCCCCAAGGAGACTGGCTCTGTCTCCTTTGAGGAGCTCCATCCTCTCGGAGTGGGCAGGAGGAGCTAGGCAGACCTGGTTGGTGTGGGAGGCTTTGGGAGTTTCGCAGAATCCACCTCATCAGGGGAATCCTAGTTATTCTCCTCCATCTTTGTCTTTCTTTCTCTTTCTTTTCCCCTCCCCTCTGCAATTCACTTCCCTCTCCCCACGTTGCACTTTCTTCTCTCCTTCTCCAAAATTGGCCCAAAGTCCTCCTTCCGGATTCAAGAATGGTCAGAATTCATGGGGTCCTCTCCCCAATGCCCCGGCCCTGGGCAAGAGGCTCATCTCTTCTGGCCGGCGTTCAGCATGACCTTGGAGACGAAGTTGACGATGGCGGAGGCGGGCTGGTTGGGATCAAGCTCAGCGAAGAGGTGGCAGGCATTATCCGTGGTGCTGCCCTGCTTCCTGGCCACAAAGCCGAAGAGCCTGCAGGGGCAGGAGAGGGTGACAGGCATGAGGGGAGACAGGGCAGGGGACCCAGGCCCTGAGCCGCTGCCTCGGTGAGCAAGCTGATCTTCAGGCCAGCCTCTCTCCACCCCGCCTCTGTATCTCTCTGAGTTGGCGAATGGCCACAGACAAGTCCTGGAGGCCACACTGTCACTTTGTGAGTAGGCAGAAAGCTGCCATGGGATTCGAGCAGGGAAGAGAAGCTGGAGGTGAGATGACAAGACTGAACAGTAAGAGAGGGGACGAGACCAAAAATAAAAAGACATTCCTAGGCAAGCTTCTCTCAGTCCTTACCGGCCACGCCCCTACCCGACTGCTCTTACACATAACACATGAGCAAAGGAATAAAGTGATGCACGCCTGTCCAAGGGCTGGTCTCCCCAGACGCCCTGAGAAAGGTCAGGAAGACAAAAGGACAAGGGGTCACCTCTCCCCCAAAGGCACAGATACACACACATACACACAGTTCTCCTGGGCTTAAAAGGAGGAGACCCCACACCTGATCCCCTCCCCCAACCGCCTCCCAGCTTCAAGACCAGAGTGACCTGACATTCTCTCTGTGCAAAACAGAGTTAAAAATATGAGAGCAGAGAACAGAATGTGAGCGCAGGTCCCCTCCCAGCCGGCACGTTGCTAATTAGAGCGAGATGGGGAAATCAGGACAGCTGGAGATTCCAATGGAAACCCCTCTCACTCGGACTGGACCACGACGGCTAAAATTAGCAAAGCTGGGCCTGCCTTGCATGTACACACACAGAGAGAGAAAGAGAGAGAGCATTTCCTACAGCTTGCTCTCCCCAACTTTGTTTCAGAGCTGGGAACAATCAGGCCAGAGATCTGGGACAATGGTCTGCCCCGGGGAAAAGCCTAGGCCCAGGGCTCAGCCCCGAGAATGCCTGTCCTGGGCCTGCTTGGGGGTCTGTGGTGCAGTGTGGGGAGTAAGGGCAGAGTGAAATAGTGGCTGCGGACCAAGGGCGTGTCCACCCTGACTGCCCACTGCCAGGTGGGCCCAGCCAGCACTGCCAGTCTGCCCTGATGTTCACTTCTGTCATGGCTACAGCTAAACGACACCCACACCTCTTCTCTTCCCCCAAGGATGTGGGGTGTAAGGCTCCTGCCTCTGATGAGTGGGACCCCCTGGGCCTCTGCCCCTTGGCCCATCAAGGCTACATCAGCAGGAAATTTAACACAAAACGGAACTACTGAATAAAGAGAACAATTCCAGGTCTGGGGCCACTCTGTTCTGGGTGTCTGTCCCCTTGCAGGGCCCAGTGGTGAGAGCACAGAAGGATCTGAAGACCTTAGTGATGCTGTGACCCAGAAGAGGGCTGAGGTGGGTTTGAAGCCAGCTCTGAGATGGCCGTATATACCCTCCTGGGTCAACCTTTCAACTGGCTCAGGCTGATAAGCAACTGCTAATAGTAGCATGGTTTTCCCCTCTTCTCTTCTCAACAGCTCAGTTACAATCTCAGAGTCCCAGGATTGCGTGAAACACAGTTTGAAAAGCACCGAAGCACGTTAATGCTCATTATACATGCGTCATATCCACTATGCCCACGTCAGGCCTCCTGAGGGCAGAATCAGTACCCTCATCCCTCTGAACCCTCCCAGGGCTGAGCTCTGCAGAGGCATTTAGGAAATGCTGAATGGGTGGGAGAATCCACCCAAAGGTCCCAGGGCCACTTCCAGAATCTAGACTGACGAGGAAGGAGGTCTACTTCAAAACAGTAAGAACAGGAGTCAAAGAAGCCAGGAGGGGCCTAGAAAAAGATCATTTAAACCGCTCCTGCCCCACAGCCTCCAATAAAACTCTCACCTTTCTGTCCTTTCCCCAGGTCCTGCTGCTTGACCACCCCCAGAGAAGGCAAAAAGGATGGGCAGCTGCCGCTGGCTGCTTGGGCGAGTTTCGCTCCAGAGCTGAGCAACCTGGCACAAAGGCCCTCACCTACCTGCTGGTCCCGGATTCTCAACCTGCCCCTGCTCCCCCGCCCCCAAGGCCAGCCAGCTGGCTGGGGAAGAAGCCACACTTACTTAGCAGGGGCACCACCCTCTGTCTTCATCCACCTGTGGAGAGAAAGAGCACAGCTACACCCCGCACTCCACAGGAGCCTGGGCCCACCAGCACCCAGCTTCCAAGGGGTGGGGTCTCTGAAGACCATCAGAGGCACCAGGATGGAGAGAACACTGTCGCCTGCTTCTCACAGCACTTTGTTGGGGGTGGGGAGGGAGAGGAGGAGATGCAGGGTCAGAGTCAGGGTCAGGGTCACAGCAGAGAGGGGCAGGTGTGACATTTGCATCCCTACAGAGGCTCCAAATTCACAATGGGAAAACTCAGAGATGCCTAACGCATTGTATGTCTCCCACCAACGCGGGCAGGCTCCGAGGCGAGCCAAGGACACACACTCACACGCTCGTCATGCAGTGCTGACTGGAAAGGAGTCCCCCAGACACTTACTTTCTCTCCTGTGGATCCAGGTCACAGAAGGTGACGGTGTTGAGGGGGTAGTGTCGTCTGAAGAAAAGCCTGTGGGCACAGACATCGCAAAAACAGTCAGTGAGTGTTGGCAGGGGCACTGGCGACCCTTCATCTTCAAGTCTGGCCACTGTCTGCGGCTGTCGTGGGCCTACACAGAGTCACCCTCACGTGCGAGATAGCCCAGGATGCTCACATTGGGGACAAAAGCAAGGCACAGGGCAGACAGATGCATCAGAGACAAGGCCCAAGTGCCAGAGGCCAGGAGAAGGAAGGAAGGGCAGGAGAGGGGGCCTGGAGGAGGAATAAAGGGAAAGGCTCTGCTCTAGAAGGCTCTCTGTGCCAGATGTTTATCCCCTGCAGGCATATTCACAGAAGGATGGATGGATAGGTGAATGGGAAGATGAGTGGAAATATGTGGGTAAAGAAATAAACGGGGAGAAGGAAAGCCTCGCAGGGAAGGGAGGGGGGTGAGAGATGGTGGATGGATGGGAGTAAGGGAGGAGTCAGTTACTAGGTGGGTGGTTAAGAGGATGGATGGACAGACGATAGGCCGGTGGAAGAAGGGGCGAATTGACTGGTGAGTGGGTAGACAGTGGACAGGTGAGTGACTGAATGGATAGGTGGGTGGACGGATGCAGGAATGGAGTATGGAAGGCAGAAAGGTGAGCGGGTGGGTAGAGAGAGGTGCGTGACGTGAGTCGACGGTGCGTAGTAAGGCAATGGAGAGACGCATCACATAACATAAGCAAAGCCCAGCACAGAAGCAGGTAGAAGAATCTTACTTTCTCTGGTTGTCAGTCAATGTGATTCCTTGGGCAGAGACTTTGAAGTGGACAATGGTGGCAGCCGGTGTGGGGTCAGCTGCCAGCGTCTCCGAAGTGGCTTTAGAAATGGCCTGTGGGCCAGTGAGTGACTCCATATCCACAGAGTTGATGAAGAGCACATTGCAGGCTGGAAGAAAACCACACAAGATCAGGGGTGTGGGATAGGGATGATATCCCAGGTCACATTTTTTTTTTTCTATGTAGAAGAACGAGGCTGTAGGCTAGAGGTACAGGAGGTGAGTGGATTCACCAGAGACTGAGTGGGGAACAGAACTGATGGATCTACTGAAATACACAGCTGAGGGGAGCATTGGTGAGACAGGAGAGGTCTGCTGAGCCATATGTGGGTGACCTCCCTGGCTGGGGATCAAACTCATGCCACAGTGATCATCGTGCTGAGACTTAAACCCTAGCCATCAGGGAGGACCCCCCTGCACACAATTGTTTTTAAACTGAGTCACTGGTTTTCAACACTGTATATGACTCAGAGGGGCAGGATCATACCCTGCAGGTGTATGTGACCGCACCACACCCACCATGAGACCCCCACAGTCCTCGACCATAGTCCATCTGCCTCCTCCTTGCCCCAGCCCACTCGCCAGGGAGAAGACAGCAGGTGAACTGCATGGCAGGCGCAGGTCACGGGGCCAGCCACACAGCCTCATGAGGGTCTGGGAGAGATGTCCAGCCTGCAGCTGAAGGAGCGGACAGGGCAGGGCAGAGGAAAGGCTGGGGCCGATCCAGTGTCCGGGGCCACTCACCTGCCCCTTGCTTCAGCAGATCAGTGGTTGAGTTGGCAGGGCCTGCACTGTCCTTGCAGTCATCTGTGGGGTCTGAGACAAACATTTCATTTAATCTAAAAATGTAGTGTTGGACCGGAGCACAAGGGGCCAGCCTGGGGTGAATTCTGCATCTACTTTGAGCAACGGACACTGCTTTTCCCAGAGGCCCTGGCAGAGTGCGCCCACTGTGAATGCTTCACGGTGACTGAAGAAGCCAACACACTGGCTACGTGCTTTGGAGTCCAACAGAGCAGGGCCCAGGCCCTCACCCCAGCACTGGTGGGCATCTGGAGGACTGGGATGATGACGGACAGTGCCCACTGCACTGGGCTTTTCGCTGTCCCAATGCATGTCAGCCCAAGGCTGGACGTAAGCAAGACTTCGATGGACAACTGATGCTGCTGTGGTCTGTGTTTTATGTTGCGTCTCTGTGCCATTCAATAAATGCCCCAATTCTTTAATCCCTTAAAGTGGCACAGCTATAACTTCAGCTTTAATAAGACCTGGTACTGTTCATACCAGCATTTCTCACTTTACAGTGACTGTACACCAGAGTCTCTTCTAGGTAGAGTTGAGAATATTTGCATCTTTAATAAGTTCCAGGGGTGCTGATGCAGGCAGGCGGGCCGATCTTGAGAACCACTGGTAGAAATTTAAATTCAACCAGCTTTGGAACTGCTGAACTACTTTGGTAAATGCTATAAGATTATCATTTAATGAGCATCTAAATTAAATTACTGAAGCTAATTTAAGTTGTAGTTGAACTTTTAAACTAATAATGCTGGCCAATTATCATTAATAATTCAATGACTTGAATTGCACACATAGAAATTATCCAATAATATTGGAGGTTTTATGTGTGGGCATAACCCCAGGAGGAGGAAGAGGCTGGGAGAAAGTCCCAGGGGTACTTTTGAATATCCTATTATTGAACAGCTAGGGTCAGAGGAAGGCATCCAGGTTCCCAGCTCCGAGACCTCAAGCCCAGACTCAGTATACTCCCCTCCCGTGGGCCATTTGTGCTTGACAATCTGGCAAGTCAATTATGTGTGCTGCTGGAGTTTGGTTTTTTAATGAAGTTTTCCTTCTGTTTTAAAAGAACAAAAAAAAAGAAGTGTGGTTTCAAGTTTCCACATAACTGGCGAACAGACCTGAGTCCTGCGCCCCTCCCCGCCAACCCACCCCTGCCCCCGCCCATGTTCTAGCGCAGCAAGCTGGCAAGATGGAAACTCAGAGGAGACTTTAAGGGTATGTTTGGAGGGACAGGGTCTCAGGGTCCTACCTCGGTTTGGAATGACCAGCTTGCAGGGCAAGGCCAATGGGATGATGGAGTGCTGGTAGACCAGGGCAGACAGGGATCCTGCAGGAAAAGAGCGTGAGACACCAAGTTCCGGAGAGTAACTCAGGCCTGCAATGAGGAAGCCACCTCCCACCCCCTGATGACCCTCCCACCCCTCTTTGATGACCTTCAGCTTCTTTATTACCTTGCACCTTCCCACCAACAGAGCCTAGTCCTCCCCCTCTCTGCTGGAAAGATCCAGGGGAAGGGATTCTTAGAGTCCCAATTTGCCCATTTCACAAACGGTTCCTCCCAACCCCTCCCCTAAGTCCATCTGCCGGGGTCCTTCTCCGGACAGGGCAGCGAAGTATTAGCAAATGGAGGGCTCTAAGGGAGCACGACACTAGCTCTGTGTTCTTGGCTCAGTCTAACTTCTGCAACCCTCAGTTTCTTCACATGTGAAGTGGGGACCTGTAACACCTACCAGGCATGACTATCACAAGACCAGGAGGAATAGAAGTCTCTAGACAGTGGCTTTCACATGCAGGTGCACAGAAAAGACTGCCACTGTTGTTCAGATGACAGCGACCTTGTGTCTCAGTGCAGCAGGACAAATATGGGAGGGAACTTGGGGAAAGTGAGAAGCCTGTTCATTTTCTCTGCTGTGGCTCTGAAAAGGGGCCTGAGAGAAGCTGCACGGGGTTCGGGGGAGTGGGACAGGCGGAGACTGCAGGGAGAGGGTAGGCACAGCATGCAGGAGGTGAGAGGCAACTCACCAAAGTTTGGCTCGTTGGGGCACCCCTTGAGTTTGACACCTCTGGGGCCTGTCTCTATCAGGAAATGCCTCACCAGCTCATGAGTCATGTCGCCTGAGAATGAAGAGGAAAATTGAGACCAGTCACCTGCCATGGCATCCCCTCCCCACACCCCACCCTCCATCGCCCAGGGGGCAGGCTGAAATGGGAGAAACCGTCATGGAGATAATAGGGCCAGAATGGGGAGTGAGACTCTGCCACTCCTCTCCTGCCCTTCTAGGCAATTCAAGCACAGTCAGAGAAGTCTTGCTTGCCCATCCTCTGACCACAGCCATCACCAAGCCCAAGGCAGGCTCTGCAGTAGAGTGTGACTTAACAGGGGTCAGCTCCCAGAATGGAGAGCTGCCCAGTCCCAGGCCCTCCTGGCCCCTCAGGGTTGGAGAAGCCCAGAGCCACAGAGACAGTGGCAGAAGTAGGGTTACCTTTTTTATTTTATTTTTTAAAAATTCATTTATTTATACATACAGAACTGGGGTATAGGCCAGAGGTGCAGAAGGTGAGAGGACTCACCAGGGACAGAGTGGGGAGCAGGACGGGCAGATGGACTGAAATACACTGCTGAGGGAGCAGCGGGAGGGTCAGGAGAGGGCTGCCACGCCATGTGGGTCACTCCCTGGCCAGGGTTCGAACTCGCGCTGCAGAGGCTGAGCTAGCTCCCAAGGGCTGCACTTTACCCGTTGCACCACCAGGGAGAGCCCGAGGTTACCTTTTTTATTCTGCTGCATGATGGTGGGAGGAGGCGAGGACACCTTCATGGCCAGCCCGTAGGCGCCTCGGAAGGAGTGGCTGTCACGGATGATGAAGGCCCCTGGCTCCTGGTCCTTAAGGAGGGCGATGGCTGATTGAAGGGGAGGAGAGAGGAGGACATCAATTCACGGCATGGGCTCTACTTTGGTCTCAGGGCCCAGTGCCTCACTCTTTCTGAGACGAGACTGTCTATGAAATTAGAATTTAAAGACGCCGAGGGTCCTCTTGTGCTAGAGTGGGAGGCCTTTCCAGGTAGAGCCACAGTCGACATTTCTGGCTTTGCTGGGCATGCGGGCTCTGTCTCGGCAGCTGGACCTTCCACAGCTGTGTCCAGGGAGACTGCAGTCCCCAAACCAGGCAGCAGCAGGGCTGGCCCCTTGAGCCACCATTGCCCACACCCTGTCCTTCACCCCCACACAATCCTCAGGAGCCTCAGGAGATCTCTCCACCACCCCCATCCCTACACCCCAATTTTGCTTTTTCTATCACATGCACAAGAATCTCTCCCATCACGGCCATGGAGAGCTCAGGCTCCCCTTTATCTTGACTGGCCTTTGCCTTTGTCCAGAAGTAAGACTTGGTTGACGAAAGGCCTCTTCCAAGGACTATTTCCAAACACAGCTTCTGTTCCCACCCACAGTTCCCCTGGGGAGATGCTCCTCTGACAGTCTGGCCTGGATCCCAGCCCCTTCTCTGTGACCCTTGCAAATGGGAATGAGTCTGCTGTGACCTTTGTCCAGCCAAGACCCACTGGGCAGGAGCCAGTTATGATCCAAGGGGCCACAAGACCTTGGTGCCGGCACTCACCCTGCTCCCTGGAGATCTCAGGCTTGTACCAATACTTGGAGGTGTCCTGCACAAACTTCACTTTAGCCCGAGTCTCGGGGCTGTTGTCTAAAAGAGGAGAGGAAAAGAAAGTGTTATGGGCTGAACTGCAACCCCCCCAAGAAGGGTAAGTTAGAATCCTAACCCCTCCCCCTACACCTGTGAATGGGACCTTACCTGCAACAGGGTCTTTGTCGGTGTGACCAGAATAAGTGGGACTTAGGGGAGGCCCTCACCCAACATGACTGGTGCCCTTACAAGAGGGGGGAAAGAAGCAGATACGTGGGGAGAGCATCCCATGGAGATGAAGTAGGGCCTGGAGTGATGCTTTGACCCTCCAAGGGGCCCCAAGCACTGCAGGCCACCGGGAGAGGCTAAGAATGTTCTGGCACAGCTGCCCCTCAGGGCCTCCAGAAGGGCCCAGTGCTGCCAACAGACTTCTAGTCTCCACAACTGTGAGAGAACAAATTCCTATTAAGCCATCAAGTCCGTGGTTCTCTGCTCTGATTGCGCTAACACATCAACCCAGAAAGTCTGCCCCCCCCCCGCCCCCAGCATCCGAGCATTGCTAAGAGGGTCCTTGAACAGCCCTATCAACAGCCTGCCTGCCGGTCACTGCTGGTGGCCACAGTGCCGCCCGCCTGTGGAAGGGCCTGGCACGCTGAGCCAACCAGAAGGCCCCTTCCTCCGGGAGATGCAAACTATACTCCTGCAGCTTTCTCCCTCAGGCTGGGACCCCCCCATCTTCTAGCCCCTTTCTCTACAGACTCATTCCCCAACTTTGTCATAACAACGCATGATGAACAATTATAACAGGATAAGGATAAGGGCAGAAAGAGATTCTTCTGTCCACTTCTCACCAATCCTGAAATCTTCTCACCAAATCGAAAGAGTGCAGAGGCCCTCTACCATGTGTCCTGTACCCCACTTCTCTGGAAGGTAGCTCCCCTCCCAGGCCCTTAGCAGGTCAGGGGTGCGTTCCTAGACATAAGCTATGGACGAGCTCGCGGCTACAGGTCCAAAGTCTTAGCTTCAAGCTCCATCATGGAGGTAAGCGCAGTGCACAGCAAGGCCACGCAGGGCTGGTGGCTGAGGAGGCCGCTCAGTCCCCCAGGCCCAGCGTCCTGCCCAGGGTCAGCATGTGCAGACCTTACTTGACAACTTCTGCCTTCATCTTTTGGCACAGAAACCAAAAAAAAGGGGGGTGGGAAAATTGACAAGGCACTATTCCAAATCTGCGAGTCCTCTCCTTTCTGCAAGGAGGCTGGGGCAGAGTCCGGGCTAACAGAGCTGAGAAGCTCAGGGCACAGGCCAGAGACATGGGTGGAGGTGCTGGCCCAGCGCTCAATTTCAGCTTGTCATGCAGTCAGCGTGGCTGCTGGGACGCGTCTCTGGAGGACAGTGAGGGGCAGTCTGCGCCCTTTGCTGCCAGCTGTGCGGGAGGAAGGCCTCTGGGCTAGGCGGCAGCCGTCATCCACGGCTGCGAGCAGCTTCTTCTACTCTGCAGCCCAGGCCCCCACCACTGCTGCTGCTGGGTCTGTCTGATGAGCTGTCAGAGGCGGCTGCAGCCCCATGCGCCTTCCTGTGTTGACTCCAATGGCTATTTTAAGCAGGGAAGATGGTGGGAAACAGGAAATGTCCCAACTATTACAAGTTCTGCATCCAAGAAGAGGGGCTGGGAACCAGATGTCTCTGGTGGGCAGCAGGAAGCAGAGGCAAGCAGGGCACTGTAGGCGTCCCAGCTTGACAGGTCCAGGGCAGGACCTGGGAGTGACACACTGAGACTCTGGGCAGCTGGCCCCCTGCCGGGCTCTCTGAACATTCCAATTTCATCTGCAGTGACTCAGGGCCCCCAATCCGTCTGCGCAATCAAGTTCCAGGAGTAGCTGAGATGCTGCCGGTCACCTGTGTGTGCGGACACTGAGCCCTTTGAGTGGAGGCAAAGTCGCCATCACCAAGTGTTGATGACGAATGAAGTTTAGTGCGCAAATGGGCACGGGCTTCAGTGGCGCTGGGTCGGCACAAACTACATTCCTGTGCAAATGTCCACCCCTTGACCTTGGTCTTTATTGCATCTGGCTTCCAGGTCTATTGCTAGTGATGTGTGCACGGCAGGGATCAAAAGGTGGGGACAAGGGGCAGGCTAACGGGGTGGACGGCCAGGCTGGGGATGACCATCTTGCAACATGATGCTAAATCGCATGAACTCTCAAGATTCGGAAACACGACACGACCTCTCCATGGCACTGGGTGGGGAGCCCGGCTCTGCCATTTATAAACTGCGTGGCGCCTGACAAATGACGGGGCCTTTCCAAGCCTTAGTTCGCTCACGTGTGAAACAGAGCTAATAATGTCTACTCTGCCCAGCGACATGAAGATACATGGAAACAGTCCTTAGCTGAGAGTCTGGCACGCAGCCTGGGCTCCCCAGTGCCGGGGCGCTGATGAAGATGGTATGTGAGGCACCGTTATTCTGCTCATCCTCGTCACGGCCTCTGGCCTGTCCACCCTCACCGCTGCCCCCTCAGCTACCACAACCAAAGTGCACTGACCCTGAGGACATACAAGGACAGCGAGGCCCAGAAACCAGTGATTCCCCCATGAGTGCCTGCCAAGAAGCTGTCAGACTGGAGACAAGAGAAGCCATCTTAACTTTTGGACCTAATCCGCCAGCAAGAGAAGGGGAAGGAGAGGCCCACCTGGCATGGAGTACTTGGAGAAGTCGGGCAGAGTGTGGGAGAAGGAGACGCTGCTGCCTCCGCTGGGGCTGGACATGCCGCTGGCCACAGGTGAGGAGGACACCTTCCCGTTGATGGTGGCATAGTTGGGGAGGCTGCCTGCTCGGTCGCCCATGGACATCCGCCGCTTCTCTGGCAAAGCTGGTGTCGGACTCCCTTGGCGGAAGGCCGCTGAATCAGGCGAGGGGGAGGTGGCGGGGCTGCTCAGCCCAGGGTAGTAGGCGGGGGACACAGGGAAGGAGGGTGTGGAAGGAGCCTGGTAGCCGGAGGCACTGCTCTGCCGGGACAGTGTGGGTCTCCGGTCCTCAGGAGTGGAGTAGCCGCCGTAGGCCACGTGCCGGTCCAAGCTGGGACTCCCAGGAAGCACAGCTCCAGACCCTCCCAGGTGGCGTCCCAGACTGGGGCTTCCGGGGCTGGCTATGGCATTGCCATGGAGATTGGAGGCCAGGGTGCTTTGGTGGGCCCCAGGGTGCCGGCCCAGGCTGGGGCTCCCTGGTGTGGGCATCACACTGCCGTGGGGAACAGAGGCCTGGTGGGCCCCTGCCGGATGTCGGCCCAGACTTGGGCTCCCTGGAGTGGTCACCACGTTGCCATGGAGGCCTGAGGGCTGGTGGGCTCCAGGGTGCCGGCCCAAGCTGGGGCTTCCTGGAGTGGTTGCTGCACTGCTCTGGGGACTGGAGACCACATTAGCATGAAAACCAGTTCCAGGACCCATCGCCTGGCGATGGCTCAAACTGGGGCTGCTGGGAGCGGCCATGACAGGATTTACAGCCCGCCGGCCAAAGCCAGGACTAGGGGGAGTGTTGGTGCCCACTGTCCTGTGGCGTGCCTGAGGGCTCCCAGGCACGGTGTGCACGCCGGCCACACTGAACTGAGGCTGGACCTGGCTTTCCGGGGAGCTGAAGGGCTGCAGGGCGTAGTCGGGGCTGCTGTAGCTGCTGCCCACGGTCGGGAGAGGAGAAGAGCTCTGGTAGTTTCTCTGGGCCGAAGGGCTGGGCTGGCCCAGGCTGCCAGCGCGGAAGCCAGAATCCAGCAAAGCCTGGGTGGGCGTCCGGGGGCCCTGGTCACTGCTCTCCCCAGATGGGAAACTCCCCACTGAAGTGCTGGAGGGAGAGAGAGAGGGTAGGTTGAGATGTCAGCATGCGGCACTCCCAGAGCCCCACTCACAGGTGAAGGGATGCCAGGGCTATGTGTGCCACCTTATGGAAGCATCAGAAGAAGAAACTGAGGCTCAGAGCAGTAAGTGGGTTCACAAAACACATTAAGCACAGTTCATACAAGATCGGGGTTTCTTCTCAGCTGCGCTGGGTTCCAAACACCACTTAAAATCAGGGAAATGCTAATCAAAACCATAATGAGTTATCGCCTCACACCAGTGAGAATGGCACATATTTAAAAAACTGGCAACAGCAAATGCTGCTGAGAAAGTGGAGAAAAAGGAATTGCACTGTTGGTGGGAATGCAAACTGGTTCAACCACTATGGAAATCTTGTGGAGGCCCTGCAATGACTAAAACCTGCACTCCTATGTTTACTGCAGCACGGTAACAGCTAAGATATGGAAACAACTTCAATGCTCCAAAACAGATGACTGTATGACAATATGTTATATGACACAGTGGAATACTACTCAGCAATCAAAAAGATAAACTCGTGCCACTTGCAGCAACATGCTGGAGCTGGAAGGGATCATGCTCGGTGAGTAAGTCAGAAGGAAAAGGAAAAATGTCAGGTGATATCACTTACAGGAGGAATGCAGGGAAACTAAATAAAGGTTTTTTAAAAGGCAAAACTAGTAGGCAATTATTGACCTGATATGTACAGGAGAGGATCAGATAGGGGTGGGACAGGAATAAGAGCCTGTGGTGATGGGTCACTGGTGATATGGTGGTGGGTTATTTACAGGGACTATACCTGGGGCAGCAGGGGCATCAAATACTGTACAAAAATAATCAGTGTAAGAAAATTTAAAAATCGATAAAAAAAAAAAGTTGGCAAAAAGGACATCTGTTCTCTACCCAGGGCGACATGTGGGGCAGGGTGGCACCCCTGCCCCACATCGCAACCCCTCTCCAGCCCCCTGTCCCCACTGTGCTGTCTTTCTAGAATGCCACCTCCTCCACCTCCTTGCCCTTCACCTGCTCATCCTCTGGCCTCTCCGCAAATACCTACGGCCCCCAGAAGTTCTCTCTGTGTCTCTAACCTTAACGGCCCCTTCTGCTGAGTGCTGAGCGCTTTGCACCTACACCGGCTCTGGAGCCCTCGGACGCCCGTCCTGGGACCTACGGGCACCACAGAGCAGGTGTGGGGGAGGACAGAGCCCTGGGTTCTGTGCCTGACACCCTGGGTCTGAATCCTGTTCTGCTACCATTTGGCATGAGATGCTGAACATGCAATTGGACCTCTCTCTGTGCCTCAGTTTCTTCTTCTGAAAAGCAAGAAGAGTAATAGTATTTACCTGCTAATGCTGCTGTGGGGATAAATAAAGCCACCAGAGCAAGTATTGGACAACGTGCTTGGTACACAGGAGACTACTACAGTGACTGCCGCTGACGGATTTTAAACTTGAGGGAAGGGCCTGCTTCACCTCTCAACGACCCGCCATGACCCCACTCCTTCTAGCCCAGTTCCAGACGGTGTAATTGAATTTAGCTGGGGGGTCACAGTGCATTCATTCCTGCTCATGTTCCCCACGGGGTCAGTACTCCAGCGTGTTTTCCCACTGAGCCCATGAGTTGAGTGCTGGACATGATCTTGGCCCATCCAGGCCCGGGGCAGACTCCAGAGCCTCATGCACCCTGTTTCAGCTGGACCCTCACACATCCCACCCCATACTCCCAATCTCCACTTACCTGTCAGCACTAAGAATGGGGCTGCTGGTGGAGAGAGGGCTGGGGGAGGCAAAGGAGCCGCCCAGGGTCCCGTTCCTCAGGGGCACCTCATGGCCATAGGCTTGGGCAGCTGGGGCACTAAAGCTCTTGGCTCCAGGGTCCTGAGTCCGGGGCCCTGCCACTGCCGTCCGCACCACCGACTCAACATAGCTCCGGGGTTCTGGAAGGAGCAGGGGGCAGAGGTTGAGCACAGATCCACCACCTGGAGGGAGCCCACCTGGCCAGAGCCCAGCGTGTAGAGACAGTCCCAAGAAGACAGCCAGGCAGGGTCTGCCCACATCTCCAGGAGTCCCCCCTTCCCAGCATCCGGGAGGAGCTACGAGCACCCCACTTGAACCTGCAACCCCTGCCTCCCTCGGAGAAGCTCGGAGAAGCCTCCAGAAAGGAACTCCAGCTCTTCCTCTGAACAAGGACATCACAGAGTCCTCCTTTCTCAGGGGTGGTGTGCCACCCCCAAGGGGCAATGTTCCTTTCCCTGCTTTTCTTTGACAACCCTGCCACTCAACCACCCGGCCCTCCCAGGTACCCCTGGCATCTGGGGTGTTCGTGGACTCAGAGTGGCAGCCTCAGTCTGCCTGTGTCTCAAGACAGCACAAGTGTGTACACGTTCCCCGCTGCCCCCACAGCCAGCAACAGGCCTGTCCTGGTGAGTCACACTGCGGCCCCCCCATGCCCAGGCCACCCTCCCTTGCCCAGCACACTCAGCATTCCTCCCGAGACTGACATCTGTGGGCTGGGCCTGCAGAGCGGCCCAGGAGACAGGCACAGCACGGAACAGGCCCCCCACCTCCCAGCCCGTCCCTGTGCGGCTTCTCCCACGGTCTCGCCGGCCCACCAGCCCTGCCTGTGACCCAACACGAGACGGGAAGAAGAAGCAGGACAACTGGGCTTCTCCAGGGACACGGTCACCACCCGTCTTCCCAGGAGACACTCTGTCCACAATTAGGGCGTCCTCTGAAACCAGCCTGAGAAGTTGAAGAACCAGCCCTGGGGAGGTCAGGCCCCCAGAGCCTTTACTGGCCAGGCCAGAGCTGGTCACTGAGTTTCCTCAGCCCAAAGAAAATCTTACTTTGGAAGGAGCCTCACGGCGCCAGGCTGCGCCGTCTCCTGAGCACCCAGGCCCTGAGGCAACAGACATGGTAGAGGGTGCTCCCTCAGAACAGGGCCTTTCTCAGAGGGTGCAGCCCTGCAGGGGGGTCGGAGGTTGGTGGTGGTGAGTGGGAACAATTACAGCAGAGGCTGCCAGCTTGCCTTCTGGTTTCCACAGAGTTCCCTCCAACAATGCAGTGAGGGTGGGTGGGGGTGGGGCAGGATGTCAGCAAAGGGACAGCATGGGCCTTTTTAGACAGCAAGGGGTTATCTATACCCCACATAGCAGGTGTCGGGGATGCAGTACCAGCCTCTTGAGCTCCCAAAGCAGGCGTTCATTTAGGCAGCCAGGAAGGCTGGCTAAAACCCCCCAATAAATTGGCCCAGCTCCCCACCCACCTCACTGCAGCCCCAGGCCACACTGTCTCCAAAGGAGGGGATTCTCTGATCCAGGGGGGTACTATTTTTTTTTTTTTTTTTGGTAAAGGATACAACAGCAAGCTTCAGGCTTGAGGGGTCAGAGGGTGACTGGGACGTAACTATGTCAGTGCTGTTGTTTTGCAAACCTCTCTGTGGATCACACATAAATGAGAGTGCCTGACTGCATTACAATAAAACTAGCTTTTACGAGAGCAGGCTACAGGCCAGCCTCTGGCACGGTTTGCAGACCTTTGACCTAACCCATCTCCCCAGCCCAGAGAGGTGGAACTTTCTTCCCCAGAACACACAGCAGGCAGCGACTCAGGATACCAGCCACAGAACTGGCTCTGGGTGGCCTAGAGAGGCAGTGTCAGCTCACCCAGCAGCCAGAGAAGCAAAACTCCACAACAGTAAATATAACCCAGTTACATGAGGAAAGTAGGATTTAGAGAATGTACGTCCCTGCTCTGTTCACACCACAGCAAGTGGCAGTGGGTGCAGCCAGGTGGTCCACCCCAGAACCTGCTGTCCTGCCCACTACATGTACGGCCCAGGAACTTGGAAACTGCCATTTTCGGGTTTTTTTCGGTTTTGGGGGTTACCCAGTCTGGCAGAAGGATCATCAGAGGGGACTTATACCCACAAAGTCAGTAATGGAGACTCAAGGCCAGAACCCACCCTCCCCTCCCACCTTGATCATGTCGGATCACACTCTGAACACTCCCCCGGGGCCCCAGACTCTCAGCACCCCTTTCTCCCACCCAGAGAGGGCAGGAAAGCCCATCTGCCCCCAGGTACCCCTCAGCTCCCCTCACCCTGCACAAGGGACATGCTTATCCTAAAAGCTAGTAAACCTTCCAGCCCCATCCAGACATTAGGGCATCCTAACTCAGCCCTAAGAAGCACACGTTTATTTTTCCCACTCCTGGAGCCCAGGCTGGCTCCCAGAGTTCAAGTTAAAACCCACATGGACATTTTGTCCCACCTGGTGGCCTCCTGTTCACTCCCAGCCTGGTTGACATTCCTGGAGGTGGCTTTGAACCCGGCACCACCCAACCCCCTTGCCCCAGGGCTCTGAAAGCCCCTGTTAGGATGAAGTAGCAGGAGAGGGAGGGAGGAGGGAGGAGAGAGCCAAGGTGCCAGTGGCTGCATCCCTCTCCTCAAGACCACCACTCCAGTCCAGGGCCCTCCCCTCCAGCTCTCTCCTGGTTCCTCCCCCGACCAGGAAGCACCCAGGGGTGCCTCACCCACTCTCGTATCTCAGATCTTGGCCCAGTCCATTACATTCACCTGGGTGCCCCCCCTCCCCAGCATGGTGCAGGACCCTGATGCACACCTTGAGCCCATGACTCATACTACCCTACACCCACCCTGCAAGGACGCACACAGGCCTGGGCTACCAGCACTGACCCCGGACAGGGTGATCGCACCGTCCTGCTCCCCGTCAGGACAGCGCCACGCCTGAGCCATGCTGCCGCCCCCACCTGGCCTGCTGCTCTATACACACGGCTGACCCCCCCCAACTGCTGTGGCTGAGGATTCCTCAGCTCCCTCTCCCCTCCCCACTGCAGGACAACACAGAACTCAGGGCTCCCCTTCTTGGACTTAACTCGAAGAGTCCTGCTCGACATTTCTGGACTCAGTTTCCTCATCTTTTAAAGTGGGAGTGAGAATACTCACCTGCCCAGCCAGGATCAAAAGATAAGAGATGGGCAACTTCCTTCTAATTCTTTCTCGCCACTTCCAGGCCTCACAGGCAGCCCCAAGGCTGCAGCCTGGCCCCCACCATGTCTGCCCCTGCTCCATCCACCCTTGCCCGATGTTTTCCTCTCTCCTCCAATCCCGCAGCAGCTACACCCAATGGGAGTTGGGAAGGGCCAGAGAGGTGGGGCCAGGGAGGGTGCTTCATGTAGAACATTCCAGGAGCCCAAACCCATTCCAAGTGGCTGCTGGCATCTGAGAGCAGCTGGAAGCACAAGCGTAAGGTGGCCCCGCCAGGCACGGGGCATGGCCAGCTCTCCCCCCACTCTTGAAGTGCATTTCCTGCCTCCCAGAAAAAGGATTTTGCCCAGATAGGAGGGATCTACCCACTCCAGGTAAAATGAAGAGATGTGGTGGGGGTGGTGGGGGAGTGAGGTAAAGAAACCCAGGAGCTCAGATGCAGGGCCCTGAGGTCAGGACATGGCATGGGCACACTGTCGTGGTATGAAGGTGTGCTCTGAGACATTCAGTATTGCAACCAATGTAATCTCAAATAAATGAATAAACAAGGAGGCAGATAAGCTAACAGAGGTAAATAACATTTAAAACACACCCCGCCCCCTCGGCAAAAGCTAAACCTTCAAACTTTTGGTTGGATCAAAGTTCTCCCATGACTCCCTGCTCACACCTTTACTTAGCTCTTCTGCCTTATTCTGGAATCCTCACGGGCATCTCATCCAGCTGTCCCAGTCATCTTCACACACTCAGTGCCTAGCACAGGGCCTGACTCACTGCAGAAGCTTCATATATTTGTATTGTACAGCACTGTCCCCAAATCCCAGAGGCCACAGTATACCCATCATCAAGGATCTCAGAGTAAGCAGACCCCCTAGAGAGGCTATTTCTAACTCACTGTCTTCCTTTATGCAAAATTTGTCTGTCCCTGGTCAGCTGGACAAACATGACCCAGCCTCAGCTTTCCCTGTTCCCCGTTCCCTGTTCCCTGTTTTAGAGTCCTAAAAATTTCTTTCTGTTTCACCTTGGGAAGATATTCCTGATGTTGACCGTACACCTTACTGCTATAGGCTTTCATGTTCTCCTTCCTTCAGGGAGAAGAGTAATACCCAGTCCCCACACTCAGTAAAGTGACTGCTTAGAGCATGTGTCTGGTACAACCTCTACAGAAAAGGGACAACCTCTACCCGCTAACCAGCATAGACTCAGCCCCGTAGACCAAACATCACTCAACCTGCTTACACATCATCAGTGAATGAGGCGCCTACAACCTCCCTCCCAGGTCTTCTATTAAGCAAGATGACATGGCAAAGAGCCCACACGACCCGCCCCTGCTTGTTTAACTCACACCCTTCTACTCTAGCCTCCAAATCCCCTTGCTCTCAGCTTCACTGGCTGTGCAAGTCCTTGAAACAACACACTATTCCCTGCCCTCCCCCACCCAGGGCTTCTGCACAGGCCCCTCTCCTCACATGGAACATTTTCCTGTCATTCCCATCTACCACATAAACGGCACTGACCCTCACCTCTCACTTCTTTGGTCAAGGTCAGGTTCTTTGCCATAAAGCCCCATGAAACTGTGTGTCCCTTCTCTTCAGAACACCTATTTCAATGTGCAGCTTGTAGTGATCACTTAACTCCGGCTCTTGCTCATTCATATGCTCCATGAAGTTAGGAACCATCCTTTACACTGCTGGTCATTCTCCCCCCAGAGCCTGGCACAGTGCCTCGCACAAAAATAGTTATTGAACAGATGTGTCAATGAAGGAATGACTGAACCCAAAGCATTTAGCACAGTGCCTTGAACAAGCAGACATCTCTGGAAGATTCCTTTTCCCCTAGCTGAACAACTATGCCTCTGGTCATTTTTCCACCCAGGCATCTTCTTCTGAATGTCCCATTAAGGTATCAGCAGGGACATCAAGAAAGATTTCAGAGAGTCCGAAAAGAATGTGCTTTAGTCCAGCCCGGGAAGGAGGTGGTGCATGAGTCAGGGAAAGTGGCCTGGCGGCCCACAGCCTTGCTCCCTGACCCTCGACCTCCCAGTTCCTCAGAACAAGGCAGCAATTCCAAACGCCATGCTGGCGGTGCCTGGAGGCAGGAGGAGGACTCTGACATGACCACGTGACCAAGCGACAGAAGACCAGCCAGTCAAGTCTCGGCCTGCTGCCTCTGGTGACCTAGCATGGACACCCTGACCCCTAGTCCTCAAATGGACCCCAACCCCACATATGTGAAAATGATGGGTGTGGCTGAGGTGATTTCTAAGAAACTACCCCTCCAAACTCTGGGGCCTTGGGAGGAAGGGTGGGTGGGTGGAAGAACTCAGAGTCTGGCAGCAGGAGTCTGTGATCTCAATTCAGGTCTGTCCAAAAATGCTCCCCTGAGTGTCACCCAGAGTGGGAAATGCTACAGCAAGAATCTGCGGGATAATCTACCCCTCTGCTCCCCCACTGGAGAATATCTGCGGTTCCACCAGTCTGCTGATGTCGGCCACCACCGGGAGGCTGAGACCAACTGCACAGGCCACGCCTGAAGCCATAAGCACGGGCTCCTGCCCCGGCCTCCCTGCCCAGCCGGACATGGCCGTCAGCATCCAGCCTGGGGGTGAGGCTGCGGAGGAGCAGCAGACAGACCCGGCTGCCGTTCCCCCAGTTCTGGGGTCTCCTGCCGTTCCCCCAGTTCTGGGGTCTCTTGCAGGGGGCTGCCTCGCTCTGCAACCCCCAGGCAGTCTGCAGCTGTTGCCCAGCCCCAACCGGCCAAAGTGGGAAGTTCTGTTGGAGGCAAAAGTCATTCTGTCGACACGGTGTTATCACCTGGTGCCTGGCCGCTGGCAGCACCTGAGAGCCTGGGTCAGGACTCAGGCAGTGAGTGCCAGGGAGGAACCCAGAAGCTACTTCCCCAACCACTTGAGACCCAGTGAAAGCTGCCCCCAAGCCAGCCAGCCCAAGCTCCATGTGAAGAGACCCCAGCCCCAGACAGCAGAAGCAGTCACACAGCAAACCCACACTTACCGTCCAGGAGCTCCATCGCCACCTTCCCCTCATCCTCCTCTGAGGAAAGATGAGAAGAGAGGTGGAGAGAAAGGATAGGCAGGAAAGAGAGGCAGGTGAGGAAAAGCAAAAGGGAGAGAGAAAGACTGGTTAACAGAGGTAATTAACAGAAAGGAAGTTGCTGAGAAAAGGGAGCCCCGAGGGAGCGGTCCACCCCACACAGGGGCCTGAGGCTCCAGGAAAGCCGAGGGAGGCAGAAAGACACGGGGGAGCAGGCTTTAAGGAGAGCCTCGTTCTGGGAGCCGCAGCCCCCACAGGGCTCCCAGCCGGCCCCCTCACAGCCCCTGTGCCAGGCCTTGCCAGCCCGGCCCTCTCCTCCCCGGTGACCGGATGGCGCTGGCCATGCAGACGCCCCCTGAGCGGGGGACTGTGCCCGGCCGAGTCTGTGTGGGTCACACACCATGCTTGTGCCCTCCTACCTGGCAGGATCAGTATCCTGGGAACTGAGAAAGAGAAGCAGTGTTGGCCCCAGAAGCCACCCCCCCGGCTTGAGAGCTGTCAGGGGTGTCTCGCTCTGTCTTCTTGAAATTGCCCCTGAGGGCCAGGGCTCCCACTTTCTCCTTCCCCAGGAAAGGAGGAGCTGGGAAGCTGGACAAGAAAGTCTGCATGTGCTGTGTGTGCACATGTGTGCTGTGTGTGTGTGTATGTATGTATGTATGTGTATGTATGTATGTATGTGCACACACGCAGGCTGTGCGTGCACGTGTGTGCTGTGTTGTGTGACCACATGTGCTGTGTGTGCAAATGTGCGCTGTGTGCCCGTGTGTGCTGTGTGCACGTGTGCGCTGTGTGCACTGTGTGGTGTGTGCACGTGTGTGCTGTGTGCGCGCGGGGTGCTCTGTGTGCACGTGTGCGCTGTGTGCATGTGTGTGCTGTGTGCCCGTGAGCGCTGTGTGCACTGTGTGGTGTTTGCACGTGTGTGCTGTGTGTGTGTGCGCGTGTGCTGTGTGCGTGCGGGATACTGTGTGCGTGTGTGTGCTGTGTGCACGTGTGTGCTGTGTGTGTGCATGTGTGCTGTGTGCGCGCGGGGTGCTCTGTGTGCGGTGCGCATGTGTGCTGTGTGCACGTGTGTGCTGTGTGCGTGGGGATGCTCTGTGTGCACGTGTGTGCTGTGCGTGTGCGTGTGTGCTGTGTGCGCGCGGGGTGCTCTGTGTGCGCGTGTGCTGTGTGTGCACGGCATCCTGTGCATACCCATGTGTGCTGTGTGTGCACGGCATCCTGTGCATACCCATGTGTGCTGTGTGTGCACGTGCGTGCTGTGTGTGTGCTGTGCGTGCACGTGAGTGTGTGCCCATATGTGTGGGTGTGGGTGTGGACATGTGTCTTCATGTGTGGGGGTACATGTTCACGTGAGTGCATATGTGAACACAAGTGCTTAAACACGGAGGACCTGGCCGCCAGGTCTCCAAAGGAGCTGACCACCTCCAGAGAAACAGGTCAGGTGCCCAAATCCCCAAGTCAGAGGACACTGAGAGTGGCCTGGGCCTGCAAAGGGCTCCAAGCCCTTCAGGCTCCGCACAGAGGGTTCCCACTCAGGCCAGACCTCAGCACAAAGCCAGGCTGCCACCCCATCTCCAGGGAGTCCCCAGAACCCACCTCCACTGGCCTTTTTTGGATTCAGTCCTAAGGCCTTGCCCCGAGCCACAGGCCCCTTCTTTTCCCTCTGGCCTACTCCCACCACCCCCTGCCAACCATGGTGTCTTACCGCCTGTGGGGTGCAACAGGATGTCCGCAGGGTTGTGGGGTTTCAGGCCCAGAGCAGACAGGGGTGTCTTGGCCAGACCTGGAGGGGAGCGCACTGTGCCAGAAAGAAAAGGGGACACTGGGAGTGAGCCTCAGGTAGGGAAGCTGCAGGGAAGGAGGGGCAAGAAGAGGGCACCCCAAAGTGAGAGGTGGGCAGGAGGTTGGTGGAAGGGAGCCAGCCCGGCCCGAGGGGCGCA